CTCCATTCCTTCTCCTACGTACCTGGAAGAGGAAATGATTTATTAAAATTTTAATAAAGTAAGTGATCAATTATTCTAGCAATTTCTATCCAAAAAACAACAATTTCGAAAGATTAGTGCATTGTTGTATCATAGTATTCTAGTACTGCAATAAAGTATTGCGATGATGTAATGGTAGTATAGCAAAATGATTTTATAGTAACAAATTCTCATATACTGTTCCCTAGTTTTTAGTCTTGAAGTTGATTTCAATCTATTTTATTAAGGAGTATGCCATCTCTTTTAAAAAATTTAAAAATTACTAAATATGCTTTTATGTTTTTCTTTACTGGCTGAAATTTTTTTCAAAAACTAACCAGTGTACAAAAGCTCTTTTTGCATACATCAGGTCAAACTTGTGGTCGAGTCTGGCCCATGCTTCAGCAATAGCTGTAGTATTTGAGAGCATACATACGGCTCGTTGTAATTTCGCCAGATCGGCACCTGGCACGACTGTTGGAGGCTGATAATTGATGCCAACCTAAAATTAAAAACTTTCTTAAAAACTAAAAAGCGGAAAAAATGATTAAGTGGTCGAGTTGCGCAGAAATTTTCCCCTCAAACAATCGCCTTTTCGTTGTTGGCCGCACTAATGAGCCACAAAGTAACTGTCAAATGCAAATTCTGAGCGTCTTGAGTTTCACTATTTTTAACATCGAGTCGTGCACACATCGATCTATTCATGCATTGGCGAATAAACAAAAACACTATCGAACAATTATTATATATATGTTGTATTTGAAATGTATGGAGCCGGACTAAAGATGTGTGGACCGAATATACCGTAGAACAGGAAGCGCACTAGGATTACGAATTTTTCATTGGAATAACATAGAATACAGGATCCAAGTATATGGAATAATGGCCGCTGGCGTTAGAGAGGAAATTCTTTCCGGTAGTGCTCGCTACACAACGATGCGATCAAGTTAAGGGCCCCTTGGCTCTCATTGACAGTTCAAAATGAACCCTCTTATTAGTTATCCGAGATCGGTACACCTTTCCAATTATAGTGAACTCTTTAGGCTACCCTTGCGGTCACTTTAATCCTGTAATCCTTTAACACTAACCCTCGCGATTAGCAGTCCTCCATCGTTCATTCGACGCAGAACTCCTTTAAGCTGCACAGGCAGCACCTTATATACCACTCGTTTGCCGCCATCTCCCGCCTAACTGGCCTCTAGGTTAGAGGCGATAAATGATCCACTAATCCATGCAGATTATAC